TTGAGGAATTATTTTAAATACTATGTATATTAATAATGTTTTTAATATACAATTTAGCTAATATTTCATTTATGATTACGACTTTGATTTATATTCTTATCGTTAGTAAAATAATGAATTTTCATAAGTTCATTCAACTTACCCCTTTTATTCCCAGATACCCCTTTAAGCAACTGTAGGGCATCAAACCCATTCATAGTTTGGCTCATTTATTTTGTGTTTCTGTTATAAGCACTTTGTTGTTGTTGTTGWTTTTTGTCGACTTTGGCTGGCTGGGATTTACGAGTTTGTGTGCACAATGATTCATTCAAGTCTAGTTTTTGGACAAAGAACAAAGGCGTCTATTTGCCATGGCTGGTGGGTTGAAGTTCGAGCTGGCTGAACGCGCCTCCAATTGGAAGCCAATTGGCAGCGCTTTGGCTTATTTCGTCTGTGTCGATTGCAATGCAATATTCATTAATTAATTCATTCTTTCGATCTGAGCCTCTTATCGAGATGTAACAATTAAGGAGTCGAGCTGATGCCGCTGTTGATGTCATAGCCATGTCCAAATGCCAAACAGCCAGCCAGCCAGCCAGGCAGCCAGCTGCACCTAGCTGAGGACACACTTTTTATGGCCAATCTGGTTGTGTGATTACGTGGGCCGCCGCAGACATGCAGATAAACTGGCCGACTGCAGTTGCGGCCAATTAATAATAATAAAACAAGAAAAGAAAACAATATGCGTATGGCTGTAATTTTATGAGCGACAAAATATAAAAGAAAACAGTCGTTAAATGTTGCGCAGGCCAAGCAGATGCTGTAATAATATTGTATGCAAATCTTTTAGCTACTGCAGCGGCCAACATATAAAGTTTCAATTTACGGCTCATATATCATAAGTTTTGGCCAGCAAGCGGGTGTACTTATAATGGCTTATTAAATCGTAAAAAACAAACTGTCAGATCCACTGGAGGAGGACCTTGAGCTCGAGTGAAATTTAATAACTGATTGAAGTGTATGCAAAATAAAAAACCAATTATGCAATGGAGCTTACGATTGGAGTCTGGAAATTCTAGTTGGACATGAATGCAACATTAAAACTAATCATAAGTAAAGCTTAAACTGGCTTTTTATTGGCCTTATAGCAAAGTGAGAAGCAAATAGAACGTCAAGGCACCCATTAGTACAAGATGTAATTACCGCATCTCTCATGGCTCACAGCGGAGAGCATTTCCGCTAAGCATCTAATGTTGACCAAGTTTATGACCCCGCTTGAAGCTGAGATGCCAATAAGTTGGCGCAATTCAACACGACTTGACCTTAACATAATTGCTTTAAATTGCACCTGAAGTTCACCTGGTAGGCATGTGAAATTTGTGCCTTTGCAAAAATAAAAAAAATACAGACAAAAAAATACAACAAAACAAAAGAAAATCATAAAAAACTCATATGCCATGGCAATAAGAAGACCCAAACACACGCTTATCACCCGCAGCAAACACAACGAAAAACCGGAATCAAAATAAAAACGCAAAGAGCGTAAAATGGTAATCAAAGAGCGGTCGCACAACAGCCGCTCTCGCTCGCTGTTATGTTAAAATAACACAAGAGTTCAACTGTTAACTTAACATCTGCTGCGGCATGCGACATACTTGAAATGGCTATATAATAATATTAATAATGCCCATAAAATTTATAATACAGTTTTGATGGTGGTTAATTAAGCACATATGAAGCTTGAAAATGTATTTTACACATTTGAATTGTATTAACATATAAGCAAAATCAATGCCAAAACAGCTAGATTTAGCGGGAATATAGCCTAGCTGTCAGCACTGTCGTTAAGCCGACTCATGTTACGTTTACAGACGTCAGTTTGCTGCTCAGCTAACAGCTGTTATTTTGTGTTTGGCTTCCATGGCGATCGGACGTGTGTGCGCGCTTCTTGTTAAGCACGAAACCGAATGAAAATCGTAAAAGCAGAATTGAATCACAGCGGTTGATAAAGTGTGTGAGAATTATCTAAGCGCGAATGCAGTTAACATTATTTGACGTCAAGGCACAGCAATAACAACAAACAGAAAAAAATATATATACATAAAAAGGAAAACCAACAACAAGAGGTACACAAATCTAATTTGATTTGTGTTCTAATCAAAGCGCGCGCGTGATTTTGTTTAGCACAGGGCAAAGAGTGAACGAAACACTCGGACCGCCAGTGTTAAATGCAAGCGCCAAAGGCGCGCAGCAGAGGATAGAACGAAAGGAAAGGGAAGAAAAGCAGAAGAATATGAAGAGGAAGAGTGCGCAGGCCAATAGCAAATAACGGCAAAAAGCGACAAGTGCACAAAACGTGACGACCGAAAAAAGAAGCAAAGCAAAAAAATAATATATAAAGAAATTAAATACAAAAAATAGAATTCCCTCTTTCGTGTGTGTGTTTGTTCTACAATTATATATATTTGTGCTACATGTTTTGTGTTTCATGTTAAAATTAAAAGCAAATAAATGTGTAAATTTGTGTATCCGATTAAATAAATAAACAMCGACAACAAACAACAAAACAATCAAACAAAAGTGCCAGTAATAACAGCAACAACAAATTGTTTAAATTTCAAGTAGAATCACAAAAATTATCAATATTTTTATATGTTGAGACGAGCGGCTGCAGTTTTTTGGTTCGTTGTCTGAAAACCAACACCAACAACAAAACAAAAGGAAACAACAGCAATTACAGCAATAGAAGCGGCAGCAGGAGCAGCCTCACCAAGAATGACAGAACTCCAATTGGACAAGAGCCTGACAGGCGACGTTGATGACGCCGACGCTTCTGTCGTCAAGGCCATAACAACAGCAATACCAACAACAACAACAACAGCAACAGCACCACCGGCAGGTACAACAACACCTAAGGTCACGACAAAGCGTCGTCAATTTGCCGAAGGAGAGGCCGAAGAAGGTTTTCTCTCCACCTCACCGGACAGCGCCAATGGGGATGCACACGCACACGGACACACGCGTACGCACCACACACACACACACGTGCAGCCACGCGAACTGCAACAGAGCAACGGCAACGGCAACGGCAACAGAGACCTAACAGAGCCACTCGATGCCAGCGCTCTGCTACAGCAGGCGTTCTATCAGTGCAGCTGCACGGATCAATGCGTGTCCCTGAACAACATATTGGACTGCTTCAAGGCGCCGGTGTCCGAGGATCAGGCCTGGGCGCTAATCTATCAGTTCATATCGTTGTACCTGAAGGTGGCCGAGCAGGCGCTGCACTGCAGCAGCGACGACTACGAGGCGCACCTGCCCACACGGTTCGAGCTGCATTTGCATCGCGACGGCAGCGTCCACTTTTCAGGGCAGGAGCAGAAACAGCAGCTGAAACAGTCGCCGGCTGAGCTGCAGCACGATGACAGCGCCAGCAGCAGCGGCGACAGCAGCGTCGTCATGGACAGAGGTGAGTGTCAATAATAATTGATTGCAGTGTATAAATATGTGTAGATGTGTATATACATACATAAAGATGCCAGATTTTGCTTTTTAATATGATTACAAAGCGAATTAAAATTTCAGTTCAGTTGGAAAGCAAATCTACTTTTGACTTCAACTAATTTTAAGAGTTATCGATTAGGCTTTGATTTCATCAGAAGTTGACACCTCAATTGTTTCCTGTTTCATTTGACTGTAATTATAAATTATCGTGTTATATAAAGATAAAGCAAAGATTAGTTAATCGATTATGGGAAACTTCTTTGTATACGAATTGTATAAATAAACCAAATAAGAGATAAGAAGGGGTGCAGATGTCTATTTCTACGAAAAATATGCTCTCTCTTTTCTAATACTCCCTAAAGAGTTTTCATGCTCTATGCCCCAGAGCAAAACATAGTATATTGTGTCTAATATTAAGAACATATTGAAATTACCATACAAATTTACTTAACATAATTATAGATGCATAGTTCATTATTTCATAAGGAGCTTATAGGTCATGCCATCATCTGAAGTTTTTGAACTTTATTACAGTATTTTAATATTACTATTGTATTGTATTTCTTGGAGATTTCGGATTACAGATCATCTCAATTCAATTAAATTTTAGGTTTCAAAATTTTATTGTCTGCATTGATTTGTCAAATCATTTTCTTTTACAAATTTATAATTGTAATTGTTACGAATTAAGTTAATTTCAAGGTTCTTAGCCGAACAAACGTTTTCCAGTCAGCTTTTAATTTGCTTCCAACTTATTGTAATGCGGAAATGTTTTAAGCTACAATTACAACATAATTCCTATAAATAATACCTGATATTAGATCCATAACTTCCTCTTGCTATGCTTCAAAATTAACTTAATTGCCTTTGGAGCTCGTCAATAAATTAGCCCAGCATAAAACCAGCTATTGGCCAATTAAGCGGAGCTTTAGCTGTTTTTGATACACTCTTTGGATAAATCAACAAAATTTAAATGCAGCTGATATCAAAGTGTAGGCTCGACTCTTGATGCAAAGTGACTCACAGAGTGAGATTGTATTGCTGTAAATGTGTGCTTGAAGACCTACCCGTGAGAAGAGCACACCCATAAGAATGCCAAATCGAACGGGAAGATCTTAGCCTCTATACACACACGCACACTCACACACGCGAACTTTCCAATTAACACAGCTTATCTAAAAGCCCATAGATTATAGCAACCTGTATTTTGACAGCTCTGGCAATGATTAAACAATTAGCAGTTGTGGATGCCACAATGTGGCAATCCCAGAGACTCAGACACGTTCTGAGCTCTTCAACAACACAAAAAAAAAAAAACAAAGACGATCTCAAGATCTGACTATTGAGCGACCCTCATCAATTACAACAACCACAACAACAACAAAAAATCAACTCGAAAAACTTGAGAGGTGAAAGAAAGTGAAAAATAGTGTTGGCTAGGCTGAGAAAATGTGCTATATGCACCATGTACACTGAGAAAAATTTAGAATGGGAATTTGAATAAAAAATAAATTTTATACATCCTATTTTTTTTTTATGGATATAAAAGTTTTAAATATAGTAAAAAATAGTTAGGTTAAAATATTTATTT